CTCCACTATTTTCAGAACCTAAGAAAGCATTATGTTTCGAGTAAAGGTTAATGATGGAACGTTCAAACATTCTATTCATAATTTTTAAGAAGCCACAAGTTTGCTGGTGATGATTTGAAAACCATGCTTAAAATTCTTACCATATGAAGAGCCGGCCCAATGCAGGTTCATCCGGTGCCCTTGAACAGGGCCCAAAAATTCAGAGGGCCCATTTTTTTTGCATTCTTTAATAGGGTATGTTCATTCGGCCCAAAAAAATTAGGTTATACTCAACTATTATCAGCCGACGAACGCAGGAAGGAAGCAACAAAAGAGGAGCGGGAACTGAATTTTCGGGAAAAAAAAAACTCTTCGGTTTCTTCATTGATAACGCACGCATGGATAATAGGAATCATCATTACTGGAATGGTAACATCAATTTACATTCATTTATCATTCGATTAATCGATTCTATTCCATCAATTTACATTCACTTCTTAGTTCTTCCTTCTTTATCTTCTTCTTCACTGATCAGTTTTTACAAAGATTACCAACAATTTTAGAAGCTTCAAAATAAGAATTCAGAACCATCAAATTTCGAAATTAGAAGGTTCAAAATCAGAATTCTGAACCATCAAAATTCGAAATAAGAAGGTTTATAATCTTACAGCGTGGGGTTTCGAAATCAAAGGTATAATACTAAAATTAAACTTTAGTTTTGTTTTTCATGGGTTTGTTTTTTCTAATTGAGTAATTTGATAATTTCAGATTTCTTATCGGTTCTTCTTTTTTCATTTTCTTTAATTCCAAATTACTAAATCAGGAGGAACAATCAACAATGATATCAGTTTTCAAAAGGAATTGAGGTAAATTCTAATTTCAGATTTCTACTTTTTCTGATTTTTTGTTTATGATAATTTCTAATTTGTAAGAACTAAGAAGTAATTATGATCTCATCATCTCAGATTGCAGATTTTTTGATTTCCTTATAAGCATATTCTTGTTTTTTTTATTTGAAGTGTCGAAAATAATATGGTAATTTTTGGATTTCTGATATGATATAATTGCAGATTTTGTGATTTTTTTAGAAGCATATTCTGATTTTTTTTTCTTTGCAGTTTTGATACCTTCTCTTGGTGATTGGAAGTGTGGAAAATCTGAACCAAGAAGGAATCTGTAAATTGGAAGTCATAAATAAGGTCGTTTCTTTCTTTTTTATAACTTATGATGCCTCCTAGAATAAAAAAATATGCATCTGGATATGAAAAACGTAAGAAGAAACAAAAAATTGAAGAAGATAATAAAACTCAAGCAGGATCTATGGATAAGTTTATAACAAAAAAACACAAAACTTTACGGAAAATGAAACACAAAATGTTAATAAAGCTAATCTTGATAATAATGATAATGTTGATGTTGATGTTAATGTTAATGTTAATGATAATGTTGATGTTGATGTTGATGTTGATGTTGATGTTAATGCTAATGTTAATGTTAATGCTAGTGATAATGTTGATGTTAATGATAATCCTAATGTTGATGATAATGTTGATTTTCACACTTTTGATATATTTGATCCAAGAAATTGGGATGCTCTTGAATCTAATATGATAAATATTTTAGTATTGAAAGGTCCTAAAAGAGATTTGTCTATTACAAAAGGTCCTAAAGATAAATATTTAAGAAGATCTTCTGCAACATATTATACTAAAACTTTACTAAATGGGGAAAATGTGATAGAGATTGACTTGTTTATTCTAAAGAAATTGATAAAATCATTTGTTTTTGTTGTAAAAATATTTCGAAAAGGGTGTGGGAAGGGTCAATTAGCAAATGAGGGTTTTAGGGATTGGATACATCTTAACACTAGAATTAAAGAGCATGAAACTAGTATGAAACATGCTAAAAATATAAATATTTGGTATGATTTGCGTTTAAGATTACAAAAAAATAAAACTATTGATAATGCGGCTCAAAAACAATTAGAAAAAGAAAAAGTTCATTGGAGACAAGTTTTGTTGAGAATTATTTCTATTGTGAAATTTCTTGCTAAACATAATCTAGTTTTTCGTGGTACTAATGAGAAATTGTATGAAGATAACAATGGAAATTTTTTAGGCTTATTTGAAATGTTGGCTGAATTTGACATGGTTTCTTATGACCATATACAACGTATTACAAATGAAATTGGTATCCATAAACATTATCTTGGGCATAGGATACAAAATGAATTAATACTTTTGCTTTCTTCAGAAATAAAGTTCATGATTATTAAAAAGATAAAAAATGCAAAATATTTTTCTATAATACTTGATTGTACTCCTGATATAAGTCACCAAGAGCAAATGACTATTATTTTAAGATATGTAGATGTCTCGTCAAATGTTGTTTGCATTGAAGAATCTTTTTTAGGGTTTTTAGATGTAAATGATACAACCGACCAAGGACTCTTTGATGTTTTACAAAATGAATTGAATTTGCTTGATCTTGACATTAATAATGTACGTGGACAAGGTTATGATAATGGATCAAATATGAAAGGAAAACATCAAGGAGTGCAAAAAAAGCTTTTAGATATAAATTCAAGGGCTTTTTATACTCCTTGTGGTTGTCATAGTTTGAACTTAACTTTGTGTGATATGGCTAATACTTGTGGTAAAGCTAAAGGTTTTTTGGAACAATACAACGTATCTATACAATTTTTGCAAATTCCACTAAGAGATGACAAATTTTAAAAGATAATGTGAAAGGGTTAACTCCCAAATCGTTGTCATCCAGTCGTTGGGAGAGTCGTGTTGATAGTGTTAAAGCTATAAGATTTCAAATTTTTGATATACAAAAAGCTTTACTTCAAGTAGCCAAAAAGATAACGATCCAAAAATAACAAGTGCAGCTAATCCTTAGCAAAAAATGAACTTGACAACTTTGAGTTTATATTGGCATTAGTAATTTGGTATGAAATGTTAAACACTGTTAATTTAATTAGCAAACAATTGCAATCAAAAGATATGCTTATTGATGTTGCTATGGAAAAAATAAAGGGGTTGATTTCATATTTTAAGGAATATAGAGAAAATGAGTTTTTAAATGTTTTACAAACTGCAAAGGATATTGCCTTAGAAATTGGCATTGATCCAATATTTCCTAAAAAACGTAAACCTAAAATAAAAAAACATTTTGATGAGATTTCAAACGATACTTCTTGTAGTTTTTCACAATCCGCCCAAGAGAAATTTAGGGTTAAATATTTTATTTATATTGTTGATCAAACAATTATTTCTTTAACTACAAGGTTTGAACAATATCAACAATATGATAAAATATTTGGCTTTTTGTTTAATTCAGAAAAATTATTTTCATTAGATGATATAACCTTAAAGTCTTGTTGTATGTCTCTTGAAACATCACTCAAGAAAGATGAACAATCAGATATTGATGGAAATGACTTATATGTTGAATTAAAATTACTTTTACATCTCTTGCCTAAGGAAAAATTGATAGCAATTGATATTCTAAATTTTTTAAAACGTGTTGATTGTTTTCCTATTACGTCTATTGCATATAGAATTATGTTGACTATTCCTGTTACTGTTGCATCTGCAGAACGGAGTTTTTCAAAATTGAAGATTTTGAAGTCCTACTTAAGATCTACAATGACTCAAGAACGACTTAATGGATTGGCTTTGATGACGATTGAACGCAACATGTTGGATAAAGTTACTTATGAAGATGTTATTAAAAAGTTTATTTCAACGAATGTTAGGAGGATGGCTGTTTTCAAGTAGAAGCTAATTTTTTTTTTTTGTATTATTTTGAATGAAATTTTAATTTTATGTATTTGCAATAGAAAATTAAATTATAATTTTTTTTTTGCGTAAATTTTGAGATATTTCAAATTTTAGGGCCTATTTTTTGTTAAATCGCACAGGGTCTCCAATATCTCGGGGCCGGCCCTGAGTCTATAGATAGCAAGCTCAATGAGAAGATAATGTCAGATATTTCTTGGTGGCTTGATGTTCGAAGTTAGTTAAGATATGTGTAGAGTACAATTGACAAGATTAAAGTGAAGATAACCAATGCAAATATCACTTAGAGGGAAAGATTAAGAAAACTGATTTTGCAAGTTATTAAAATTACACAAAAAACATTCTAAGGCGTGGACATTGTTCCGTCACTAGGATCACCAATGACACACTGGTCCACGTTGTTGATCACTCAGCACTTGAAACAATTTCTACCCATATAAAGAGGTCTACTTTAATGGCAAACTCAATTTGATTTGAATTTGTTATATCATGTTAGTTATTTCCTAGTTATCGAATGCTTTGTGTTACAATTTCCACTCTACAAGAAGTCGATAAATTTGTTCTATCATTAATGCAAACATAATTTCAAGCTATATGTTCTTGATTTTTCCCATTAAATTCGATTCTAATTCCGCATTCTTGCTATTTGATTGATGTGGAACTTTTTTAGTTTTTATAACAAGGCTTTTATAAAAAAAAGTTTGGAAATAAATGTTTGAAAAAAAACGTTATGAAAATCGGGTTAAATAAAGTTGGAGGGGGGATAATACCATTTTACCAATATATTGTCTTAGTCTTGTGGTAAGGTACATTGTTTGTGATGACAACGACATGTGTTATCTGTTTCATTTTCCTTTTCAATCAAAATGTTGTTTGTGAAAAAAATAAAAAATAAAAACCGATTGGCCCATACTTAACACGGAAACGGGCTTAAATAAGCCAATAACAAAATTGAACCATTTTTGAAAAAAAAAAAAAAAATAGGCTTGAAACAAAAACTGGCAAATTCTTACGTCTTTATGATTAATCGTTAAATATAAAATAAGAAGAGATACAAGGCTAAATTGGTAGAAAATATTATGACTTAATAGTGAAGCCTTATTTACATAATTTATTAAAACTTTCCGGATGTAGTTAATCTTCATTAAGCACGACAAGTAAAAAAGAAACAAAACCTTCGCTACATATTGCTTTCAAACGATTTAAAAAAACATTGCACAACGAACAACTTACATAACAAAATACACAAATCAACGATTTGAACGACGAAATTCGATACACACAAAATACACAAATTATAAACCTAACAAAATAATCTACACACTCTCTCTGTCTCACACACAACTCTGTGTGGTTTGTTTCACACCTTCCAACCAAAACTGAACATATATAAATATAAATAAAACAACAAACCGGATCTCGGTTCAAAATAGTCATCCAATCTATCAACAAACAAATAAATACACATACATAATTGATAATTCTACAACTTCCTTTAGTTGGTTTCTTCATCGATTAAATGATGAGTACTCTGTTCGGTTGGTGACCCGGGGACAAATGGCACGAATCCACGCCCACCGAAAACCGGACGCATAAATGCGTTATCGAATTTTCTCCAATAGTGGTGGACTGTGTGTGAAGGGGTTGAAAGTAGCATTCTCAGACTCGAGGGGCGGACCACGTGTGGGCCCAGGTCGATTTCGGAATCTTGCCCGTTTCCTAAAAGCGGGACGATGAAGGATTTTGGGGTGGTGGGTTCGGATGAAATCATACGGGTCATGGATTTGGGTGAGGGGAGTAGGAGTCGGACTAGAGGCTGTGTGATTAGACCGAATACCTATATAGATGAATTAAGACAAGGATACGGATTAGATTATTTATTTATTTATTTATTTTTGACTTAATGGATATGTGAATGACTTAATTTGATGAGTTATATATGCATGCTTCTTTTGACTTTTTGACTTTAGAGGCTCTGTTTGGCACGCATAAGCTAGCTTATTGGCTATTGCAGTGTAGCTTTTTAAAAAGGTATTTGAGATAGCTTATTGATAAGCTTGAGATAGCTTATTGATAAGCTCATAGGGCTTTTTAGTTTTTACACAAGTTCTCCAAATATGCCCTATTATGTTCTTTTTTTTTTTTTTTAATTATATATCTAAATGTCCTTTTACGTCATTTTAGATTTGTCATCTAGTTTTTACCCAACGCTATTAGAGCGTCTCCAATTGGAGAACATGATTTTTTTGCTAATTTTTATTGACCGCTCAATATATATCGAGTGGTCAATATAATTTAATAGGTTGAACACTTAACCCCTTTATCTTTAATAATATTTCATTTTATCTCCTTGATTTAGTGTTATTATTTATTAAAGCAATGTATTGCATTATAATTAATTATTTAAATATTAATGTTAAAAGATAGTATTTATTAAAATATATTAAACATCTAGCGATAATATTTATTAAAATGTTTTGTACTAAAATACGACGTTTTAAAAAATGATTAGTTAGACGAGGGGGTTTTATAGAACATTTTAGATAGATGAAGATGAATTAGTTAAATTAACAATAATGGAGAACTTATTTAATTAGAAGTGAATATTAATTGGTTGATGAGGTGGAAATGTTTTTAACCTATATAGTATAGGTTTATCATTGCTTTAATAAATAATAACACCAACGTTGATGCAGAAAAAGCATGAAGTCAAGAAAAGAGGCTCTCATTAAATCCTAACTTTTTACAAAATTTCTCTTGTAATGTTTTCTTTAATCTGAGCTGTCACTTTCTCAATAATTTTGTAAACATCATTTATTACAATGATTAGGATTTTTGCATGTACAGTTAGAAAAGCATATATTATTATATTGTTTATTTTTTACTTAATGCACTTAATAGAACAATGCTATATAATATATAGGTGTTTCTTTTTGATTTAATAGAGAAAGTCATTAGTACATTACAGTATCAACTATAGCAGTGAAAATTATGTTTTTTTTGGATGGCATTATGGTAATTAGGTAGATTTTTCAAAGTAGAGAGTTGTAATATGAAGAAATGGAAGTAGTGATATCTTACCATTGTACTGAAAAGGACAACAGTGATAGTACTTGTGATCATGATTGCATTCCCCCTCAATGTTGTGTGCCCTAACTTGGTGAACTGCATATAAATTAAAAACTCATTTTTTATTCTAGACTAAAGGGTAAAATGGTCATTTACTCAAATACTGTATTATTTAAAAATATTGATAAACAAAGGATGAAGTTAAGTCACCAACCTGATTATAAGCAAGGGCCATAGATACAGCACCTCTCATAAGACCAGCCCACCATATTAAAACCTATAAAAAACACAAAAATTAATAAAAGAAAAAAAATAGTAAAAAGGATTAAAATTCATGAATACCAGAATAGAGTAAGAACATACTTGCTGCCTAAAATCTATTCTCTCATGTCGAGCCTTCTTTGTTAAATTGGATAAAAATGATAAGGGGAATACAAAGGCTGCTCTTCCAACTAAAACCAATCCCAATAAAATTGCACTCACTTCAACCGAAGTCCCAGGGCTAAAAAGGTAAAAAAAAACAACAACCATAAGAATGGTGATTGAACATAAATCATACATGAGAAGGGCATTTACGTCTTTTGCACAAATTATACCTGTCTTTTACAAACTTCCACTTTTCAATATCTAAAGCATCCATTCCGACATAAAGAAAGATAAATAACTCAGCAACAAATGACAATGTTGCAAAGGTATGCCTGCAAAGAAAAGGGTAAGTAGATAGAAATTAACTTGTTGAGTTTTCCAACAAAAGCCTAAAAAAAAAAAAAAAAAAGAATGTAAATAAACTTACTTGGTAGTAACTCGAGATTTCTCTGTGACATTATGCCAAGTGTAATGAGACATCACAATTCCACAGAAGAAAACAGTGAGAATGCCACTCAAATAGAATAACTGCCATACAGAAATAATTGATATTAGCTAAATATGCATATTGGACTATATCACAAGTTACAATTTTTTTCCATCCAAAAAGACGTAAATGCCCTCTTCATCTTCATCATAAAAAATAGCCCTACCAAGGTTTGTCTAGTCCGGTGTAACAAAAGCAGTATAAATATAGAGAAAAGAAGATTCCAATATGAATAAAAAAGAAAACTTCACCTCAGCTAGCATGTATGAAAGATAAGCCATGAGTATCATTATAGCAACTTCTCTATCAGTTGAATGCCTAGAATCCAGAAGGGTAAAGAAGTAATTAGTGTCACGAATGTCAATCCCGGAAAGTAAAGAAGGCAAAAAATTGAGAAAAACACGAAATGTTATTTATTTTTTCATCCAGATATAAAAAAAAAAAAACTCTGCGTACCTTCCAAAATATAGCTTCTTTATAATATAAGCACTTAGTAGCCCAGCCTGTTGGAGTCAAAATAAAACATCACATGGTTGTAGTTGTATCTTCTTTAAAAACACTTTATACAGTAACAATAACAATAACAATAACAATAACAGTAATTTGAAGCCTTACTCCAGCTCCTAGAAGTGTGCTTGTGATGAATAAATAAAAGAAATTTCCAATCAGTTGAAATGCAACAGCAGTTGTGATCTGAGAGAGATCAAAGTTTTGAACTGCATTGAAGATGACAACTGATGTGGCATCATTCACCACACCTTCACCAAACACCAGACTATATAATAAAGGTGTCTGATCCTGATTCAACACCTGCATTGTTTAATGAGATACATTAGCACCAAAAAAGGTTATAAGCAAGTATGTGCCAGCTCAAGCACATTCATCAAGCGCCTGATAACATACAATCAGGTGCTTTGATAACTACCGTACTATCAGGTGCCTGATAATGTACTATCATGTACTATTAGGCGCATGATAACGTACTATCAATGTACTATCATGCGCCTGATAACGTACTATTAGACGCCTAATAGTACGTTATCACACGCCTGATAACATACTATCAGGCGTTTTGATAACATAGCAGGCGCCTGATAACATATTATCAAGCTCCTTGACGACGTAATATCAGGCGCCTTGCTAGCATAATATTTTATTAGTCACATTGTGTCTGATAAATGATAATGTTCATTATCAGGCACATTGTGTTTGTGAGTAGAGCAAAGCAAAAGGAAAGGTTGATACCTGCAAAGTGCAAACGGAATCGGTGGCTGAAAATATTGCACCAATTGCTGGGAAGAAATTTGAAGGTTTAGATAACAAGAAGATATTCAACGAATTTAAAAAAAAAAAAAAAAACTTTTTAGAAGGAAGAGAAAGAACAAGGGATACCAAGAAAGTCTCCCAGCTCAAGGGTACCAACATCCATCCTTTGGAAAATATTTATAGCACCTGTCCAAATCATGAAGCTGATAAGTATTAAATTTAAAGAAATAAACAACAAATTGTGAATCAAGTTATTAGTTTTTAACACTATATAACGCATTCAGCTTCAATATTCTTGCACACTGTATCAACATTGAAATTTAGCAGTTTATTTTTACTATTATAGGGATGGATATTCAATGATGATAATTCTTCAAATAATATGATCACACAAAAAACAAAATATTCAAAGTATGCCAACATAACAAAGTCATAGATATCATCAATTTCCAGATTTTTTATTTATTGCATAATAATAGAATTGGTCATGTGTAGTACATATTCCATTTTGTCATTATTAATGTTGCAATTATCTATTATATTACATAAAAGAAACATCAAGTAAAAAGTCAAAGCGTGCATTTATTTTCAAACAAAACACTTTCTTGATTATTAAAAAGACAAAAGCAAAAGTAGGTGTCTCATCTTGTGAATAAATACCTTAATAGACAACACAGTATTAACAAATAGTACAATATACTAAAATTTGATAACTTGGAACAATTTTATGAACACAAATAAAAATGTTAAACAAAATCTGATATATATTTAGTGCATACCAAATGATATGATGGTGAAAGATATCACAGTGCCAACAGCACCAAATAGCACAATGGTCATGAAATTGCGAAAAAATTGTTTCTTCTTAACCTGAAACCTGTTCATTTTATTAAAAAAGAAAAAGAAAAATTAACATTAGCTGGAATGAGAAGATCTAATAATGTACCCTATCATACAAATGTTACTAATATTAGTCACTGAATCCCCAAAAAGAGTATTTTAAGATTGAAGAAAATAGCATAGCTCATGATAGTGAGCAAAATTTGGTCAATAGAATTAATTTAGTGCACCTGAAATATGACAAGAATCCAATGAACTGAATCACCCCAAATTGAGTTAATTAATTACACTATAACTGCTTAAAGTAAATGTTTTTTTTACTATATCAAGTTTATAACTAGAAAATGATCAATGTTCCCTTAGCTGTTGCAATCAACTAAAAAGAGATGTTGCTTCCTAAAATGCTAGTTGTTTCCATCAGCTTTTAGAAGCTATATATATAGTAAAAATTATATACCCTTAGTTTTAAAAATAAAAACCCTAGTAGAAAATTTTGTAAGTAATGAAGTCAATGTTAGATTTTTTCCACCATAACATCTATAGAATAATGGAATCAACTGAAAACAAATTAAAACATACCCAGCATTGAAGATGATAGGTGGAAGAAGATAAATGAAGAAAAGATCTTCACTGAAGACTAGAAGATGTGAATTCGTTCCTCCACTGCTTAACAAAATAACAACTCCAGTGCAAATACCCTGCAATCAAATTACAGATATAGAAGAAAAACATTAGATTTGAAGTCGCTCCCATGTTCCTCACTAATCAAAAATCGATTTTGTTAATTTTAGGGGAAGATAACCGATGTAGAGATAATTCAGCAAAAAATTGGATTAGTAGCGTAGAATCATACTTACAATGACAAGGGCAGTGATAGATTCGTTCATCCATCGATTCTCCTCCAAAAGATGACCGATTACGATACAAGCACAAAGAAGAGCAACAAACAAGTTCATAGAGACAATGGAAGAGTACTCAGAGGTAGCAAGTCTATTGCTACCCAATTTCCCAAGCAATAACGCGAAATCAAACCCCATTCTGGCCAACTGATTTGGCCCCTCGAACGAACAAACTTCAGCAGACTTTTTATCTTCCAAAACAATCCGAGATCACTGCAACGAACAATTATAAAACGACTTTAGTTACAGATTGCATCATCGAATCCAAATTTTAGCACACCAATCAAGTTGGTATCTTAGATAGAACAAAAAGGGGTCACACAGACACACATAAATAGCTATATGGAGCTAAAATTACCGAATATAGTTGCGTAAATCGATGAAATTGAGCTAATGGGCAGGCAGGTAATCTTGATCTCAAAATTGAAGTTCAGATTTGAATTCCAGCACACCAAAACTAGAATTTTATGCTTGAGGGTGAGAGATGCGTGCGTGGATTCCCTTCGAGAGAGTTCAAAATTAAACACGGGTGAAAAGGTTAAAGTTGAATTGAAGCGAAAGATTGGAAAGTAATGGAAAGCACGTAAAGACACGCCGAGCATTCAACTGTATTTATATACGGTTCTGGATCAAAGAGACGATTGGATATTTTGAAGAACGCTTCTTTATTTAGCCAGATGGCAACAAACAAATTTATTTTTTTAAGATGTGTTCGAGAAAATTAGAAAAAAAAAATATATATATATTAGCGCAAATTATATTATGAGTAAGTTACAGTCCATGTAATTTGCTTATTCTTATTCTGACAAACACTTAAATGCTTATTGCTTATTGTTTATTCCCATCACAATAAGCTAATCCAAACACATTTTAAAAAAATGTTTATTCCCACCACAATAAGCAAATAAACAATAAACTAATAAGCTAAAAATTATTTATCCAAACACCCCTTAGTCCGACCTTTAAAATATTGTTAAGTTGTATCTTTGTGGTTCCATTTTGGTCATTAATCCATATAAATTAACTATATTACCCAATATATTTTATTTTATTTTATTTACTTTAGTATCTAAATATTTAAGATTAATTATTTTAATATTGTTTGGACCCACACCCCCTACTCACCCAATCCCACCCAGCTTGAAGATACATCCCTACCCTATATCGTCTTTATACCCCTCTCGTTCTCCTTCGCCATTCTTGCTAAGGTATGCAAAAATTAATCGATTCAATTCAAACTAACACTTTAATCGAAACATAGATGTACATGGGATGTCCAACTGTAATTATATTAGATCAGTTCCAATATTTTTGTATCAAAATGGATCGGCCAATTATTGAAAAAAATCCAGATCCAATCGAAAATTGAATCAATCCAAACAAATTGGATATCTAATTAACATCCTATTATCATCAAAATAGTTATCTAATTAATTCTAACTATCGTCCATTTGAATCCATCCAATTATTATCAATCCCACTATCATCCAATTGATAAATCCAATAATATTATCCAATCTCAGACTCCTTAGTCCAATTAAGTATCAAAAATATCAAAAAACTGGATAAATTTTGGATAGACATTAGATGAAAATTGGATAACCAAAAGTAAATATTCAATGTAAAACTAATCCAATCTAATATCTAATTAGATCAGTGCAATTTATTAAGCACATTCGATTGGATTGGATCAACTGTCAATATAAAACATCAATTGATAATTAGATTGGATCAATTCTATATAAACACAAGATATTCAATGATAAGCACCCTTAATTCCTCATCAGTGTACCCTCCTTACCTATTCCTTTTCTTCTTATTGCACATCCTCCTCCTTCTTCTTGGTTTCTTACTTCGATTTCCCCTTCTTTCTCTATGTTGGCATTCCCTTCTTCATCTCCAGGATGTAATCTGTCACACCCCCGGCTGATGACAGAAACATCAAGGTGCATGACGTAGTGATGGATCACACTTAACACATACAATGAAAAGTACAAAACTCATAATACAAATTACATTCTTCTATTAACTTATAATATTGATTACATTGTTTGTGATCAAAAGATACATCAAAACATTACAAGTGAATCTAAACATAACACTAAAGATTTACAGTTGCCTTAACATATATGCCATGATAAAAACAAGGAACAATGATTGATAACAAGGATTTCCATATTATTCGGTGTGTGTGCACTTCCAGCTCATAGGTATCTGAGAATACATGCGTTTTAAAATACGTCAACAATAATGTTGGTGAGTTCCATAGGTTTTGACTCTCCATACTTTTATAACCAAAAGTATATTTATATAATTATGACTGGTTGACCAGCTTATATAAAAATTGTACTTTTTATAACCAAAAAGTATAAAATTAGAGAGCACGTGCTTGTAACCCCGTACAAGTGTGTGTGATGTGTATAAGTTCTACATGACTTAAGTGAATTCATGCTTGTAACCCCGTACAAGTGTGTGTTGTTTATAATCATTTACTTATAAAAAAAAATATAAGTTTATTAACAAAAAAAAGTTCATGTGATTCGTATATTTATAAGTATTTGTTTTACCTATAATATACTGATACTTATCTATCGTTCTAAGTATGTGTTCATGCTACATATAGTCCTATTTCAACTCATATGAGTTCTTTTAGAGTGTACTCCGGGGTTATTATGAGCCTATAACTACTATGGGGCTATTATGAGCCTATAACCGAGCTAAATGACTAGACCAAGCCTCTGTATGACACTACAATGGGGCGTGTCGAGAACATCACCAACGTTTCATCGACGTTGTGAAAGAGATAGATAACGAACAGTTATCGCCCATTATGACTCATCAGATGGAGGTTGTAGCTAGCAACCGTAGGCGGGGGTGTCAACCCGTATAGATCTATACACAACTTTCCTCGCTCCATTAAGATTAACGATTATAGCATAGAGGGCTTCAGTAAGTTTTTGTTCTTAGTTGATGAAGAGACACTCATATAATAATCTCGAGTTTAAACAGTTCTAAAAGTGTGTGATTTCGTGTCCTAAACCTTAAGTTATAAAGTTTACTAGACTTATAGTCCATCCGTTGTATTAAAAACTATAATAAGTTTTCTAACGTAATTTGGGCAGCGTAACGGCCGTATTTTAACCAAAATCAAGTTTTACCCAATGTAAAACCAACATTACCAATATTTATACATATCTAAAATAGAAGTAACTATATCATTTTAAGCGAATAAATGACAATAACAACTATTTTAACGTTTAAATTTATAAACTATAAAATAAACATTTATTGTTATAGTTTATAATTATAATAAAACTATATATATGTCATTATTTAAAATATCAAATATATAAATCGAGCATATATTGTTCTCTCTCTCTCTCTCTCTCTCTATATATATATATATATATATATATATATATATATATATATATATATATATATATATAACAAAAACATTAGATTATATAAACCTTTAAACTAACGATTTAGCATTTATATACAAATACTGACAAGTGATGCACGTATTCTCCCCAAAAACATTAAAAGCTTAAAAGGGTCTATATAACTCACTTTTGAAGCGTGTGGAGTTATCGTTGTCGAGATCGGGAAACATGTCACAATTTCAGACTTTTTGATCGGCAAACTTTTTGAGCAAAACGACATCACAGGGTTGTAGATCGGGTTGAGGCGAGTCAAAAAAACTTCTTTTTACAGTTGTCGGAGGTCGTCAGAGTTATGTCGGAGCTCCGCCAGAATAGTGGTCGGCGGCGGTGGTCCTCCACCCAATTGTTGATACATGTCCCCATCCAATTCTTAACAAGTGTCACCACCTAGGCGGTGACACATCTCTCCTCCTCGAACTGCGTGCCAAATCCTAAGAAAACGATTATGTTCCAACTTTCCGAATATGCCTTTTAAATGTCCCGAACGTGGTAACTCCAAATATGTGATCAAAATTCCTAAAAGAAAGACGACACTAGGTAAAAAACATGTTCGAAGCTTTAATTTAATTATATTTATAGTTTTCTTATTATGACTAATTTCGTAAAACGGTTATAACTTCGTGCTAAAAATATTCCGATAACGGAATCAGATAATAGGGTATAGTCTGAGCTAAAAAAACGTGCTCAGAAATACTTAACGAGACGCGTAGCTATCCCAACGAATCAATTTGGTGTTCGTTTCCGGGGAAATCAATTATATAACTGATTTGCTTCTTTAAAAAGGGCATATCTTTCACGTGTGATCTCGTTTTTCGACGTTCTTTATATCCACGGAATCCTGTTAACATGTTTTATCACACATTAATCTTATTTTTAATGTCTTAATCAATACTTATATAATGTGAATATGGTTATGTTCGTTAGCGATCAACATTCATTGAAGACAAAAGGGTATTATGTATGCAATTCGAAGTATAAAAACTTTATTTGCATTAAAAAGTATGGAATTGTGTACATTAGGTACTATTACAAATGGGTTCGCGGTGGTTTGACCGACGAACGTTGACCTAATTTCGCTAGTTGTCACATAATCGCCAATCACCATCATCAAAATGTTCTCTTTCTCTCTAACCCTAATAGTTACACATACACATACATACCTACATACATACACACACACCCCATCTCTTTCACTTTCACCCTCTTCAACAAATCAATGTCAAAATAGATGATCATTTCCATACGACGAGAAAACAAAATCCCCGTCAAAAAAAGAACCAATTTATATAATTTCTCACATTTGGATTATCGACAAATTCAATATTATCTTCTTTCTGTATTTTGAGTATGTTCATGATCGAATTAGTTGGTTAAGACATTATGTGTTGGAAAACAATAATTTTTTGCTAAAAAGTTCAAAAAATATACACCCAACAACCATACTCCAATTGAGGTATCGTAGTTATCATATCAAAGGATGAGTTTGTGGTTATGAACTCATCCTTATCGTTGTTAATTTTGATGCTCTAAAATGGTTTTATTGTTGTATCTTGTTTAATTAAATTGTTGATTCATAAACATAACATCATATAGTGAACACATTAGGTTTCTTATTATATCTTGTTGAGTCATAAATAGAGCATCACCAATGAATTTATTGTTGTATCTTATTTAAACAAAAGGCTTTGTCATTATCTTGTTTATTTAATAGGTAGCTATGTAAATAGCTTATAACATAGTTGAAACATCCCCTCGTATGAGCTATTTTAAATATTCTTTCAAAAACAAAGAATCCATACAATTATGTAAACATCATTTTAAGAAAACAATTTATGGAATACATGTCTCAAATATTCAATTTCTTAACATTTAAAATTGATCAAAATGTCAAGACATACAAGGGTGTAACACTAATAATCAATAGACGGTAGTTTAAAGTAAACAACATCTCATACATAAATAAACTTAAACTGCCTTCTAAATGTCTAATTGCCATATAAGTAGATTTGACCCTAGCGAATATGGTGGCTAATTTGTTAATATCTTAAATGCATTCCTTTAGACCCGATAAAAAGCATGCACATGACAAAGTCCATTTTAGGGTTGCTCCTAATAGCTAAAATAACTAGAAAAAGATTTATGAGAGTGAGATAAATAGTTTATTAATGTATCATAGCTT